CTGCAGGCTTACTGTGATGAGACAGTCCAGGAGAGAAGACAGAAGGACCAGAAGGCATTTCGTGAGCAGAAACTGGAAGAGTGGTAAGGAGCATGTGAAGACTGCTGGTCTGACTTCCCAGACACCCACATTATGGCACAGGGGCTCTCCCAACTACCACGCAGTTCAAAGACGATGGTGTGCCAAGTCTTCCGCCCTCTTCGTCTGTATTGTCTTTTAATTCTGTTTCATTAAGGGACTGGAAAAATGAAAGACCCCAGTTTTATTTTTAGTCTGATCAGGATCTTGCTTTAGGTCTGTCCGTCTTTCCTTCCTCCTTTTCTTTCTTTTTCTTTTGTGACTCAGTGGGTGTGATTACCATTACTACAAGAACATTGGTGCATAGTTGCCTGCAGGAGCATGGCCAACTTGCAATTGGCTCTGTGCTGAAGAAAGCATCTTCTGCTTCCCCAGTAAACATGAACTGCCTATGAATAAATATGCAGGGCTGAGCAGGGCCTCCTGAACCCCATGCTGGCCCATGAAGGAATGCTGACAGGCCCGCCTTGTGCAGGTCTTATGCAGGTAATTACAGCTCCTCTGAGGTCACAAAGCTGTGCCCAGTCCATGCCTGTCAGACAGTGTTCACTACATTCTAGTTCCTCCAGCTCTTAACCCTCTGTCTTCCTCTGTAATATTCCCCTGCATGGGGAAATGCAGATGGATACTTCTACTTTTAAAGTGTCAGGGAGCTGAGGCAGGGTGATCACCTTGGTCAGCTTGGTTTATGTAGTATTACTTGCTTTCACACACACAACACACACACACACACACACACACACACACACACAGAGAGAGAGAGAGAGAGAGAGAGAGAGAGAATGTTATCTGCTCTGTGTCCATATATGAAATTTTACTTCTTGATTTAGATGAAGAAATGAGGTAGATCAAATAGTTGTTTGTGGATGGGATGCCACTGTGTGTTATGAAAATGTTTGTTTCTTCTGTCTCATCATTTCATATGCTACAATATTTGTTTTTCAGTGCTAGAGACCTTCTCAATGCTAAACAAGTACACTGAACCAAATCTCCAGTATCTCACCACATTGCCCAGACTGGCCTCTGAACTTGTGGTCCTCTTTTGTCAGCCTCCCAATAGCTGGGCTTGCAGGCAGGCCTGTACCCACAGACCTGGTTCAGTAATGTCCAGTTTGTGGGCTCAGGTGGTGAGCCTGACACTGACCCTGTATAGACTGTGCAGGCTCTCCTGGCCACTGCCTTCTAGCACTCCTGGTGAGGTGTGGGCTCGCATCACGGGTCAGCTCCCAGGTGTCTGAGATGATTGCTGGCACAGCTGTCCTGGAGCTCACTCTGTAAACCAGGCTGGCCTTGAACTCAGAGAGATCTGCCTGCCTCTGGCTGCTGCTGCTTTTCTAATTGGACAAATAAGCAGGTTTTTCCCCCAGGGATTTGAAGTTTTTTGGTTACACAGACACACACACACAGAAACACATTTCTGTGGGCATTTGTGATAGATCTACGTAGGTCTCTTCCCAAGTACTTAAGTGCTGTAGGAGAGCAGAGCCCTGGGCTTAAATCTCAGCTTGGCATTATTAGAGTAGGTTTCACTATTTATCCCTAGGAAGAGCTAGTTCAAATGTTTATGCCACTTTTATGTCTGAGCTTCTGTGCCTGAAAATGACATAGAGAAATAAAACCGTTTTAAAAATCATCCTAGCAAAAAGTATAGAAAACTGGCTATAAATTTATGATAGAAAAATGGTCAAATTTGATTGGGTTGACACTTAAGATGTAGGTAGCCTTGATAATTAAAGAAAGTTACTAAGCCGGGCAGTGGTGGCGTCTGTCTTTAATCCCAGCACTCAGGAGGCAGAGGCAGGCGGATCTCTGTGAGTTCGAGGCCAGCCTGGTCTATAAAGTGAGTTCCAGGACAGGCTCCAAAGCTTCAGAGAAACCCTGTCTTGAAAAGCCAAAAAAGAAAAAAGGGGAAAAAAATCCAAACCAAATAAAACAATCCCTTGAAAAACCAAAAAGAGAAGATAGTTACTAAGATTCTATTTAGGAAAAAGAGTAATCTCTTAGAAATTGGTAGAATTAGATTCTACTCTTCATAAATGTGTCTGTAGAGTTGCCTGTATGGTGTCACCTAGATCACCAGTGCGGTCTTATGAATTGAGACAAGCTCTGGTGAGAGCGTTTACATAGTGGCAGGGACTCATGGCCTCCGAGTCCGAAGGGTAGGAGAACAGCCCAGTTTGAAATGTATTCTTTAGCTCTCATTCATCCCTTGGGAGAACTGCAGGACAGTGTCCATTTTGGTGATGTGGAGATCATGGGTGGACAGCAGGGTAGGAGAGAGAAGTGTGTATTCTGAGTGCAGAGACCAGTGTTTGCTCGTAAGTTGTCATGGCAGAGCAGGGAGGGTGCGCTAGACGTTGCCGTTTTGTTTGGAGTCTGTAAGGACAAGAGCTGAAGCAGAGCTTGATGCGTGTGTATCCTTTGATCGTAGGAGAAGAAAACTGCAATTCACTGAACTCCTCCCTGAGGAAATCGAAAGTGGCTTAGAGAAGATTCGGCCTGAGGAAGATGCTCAGAGAATCCAGGAGCTGCTGGACCTCCCTAGGAACCCTCCATCACCAGATCAACAAGACAAAGACTGAGGATGAGGGGCTCTGTGGTCTAGGAATGCCAGGGCCAGGCTGCTGCTTCTCACCCTGACAAGTGCAGGTGCTGGCACCTGTGGTTGCAGTGACTTGCTTCTCACCTTCTCTGTCCATATGAAGAATTAGGTCATCAAAGCTGGTGCCACACACTAATCCCAACTACTTGGGAAGCTGAGAAAGATGCGTTAGTGCAAGCTACATAATGAGACCCTGTTTCAAAAACACGTACCCACAGAAACCACAACAGAACCAAAAAATTACCCATAGAATTGGGTTTCATTTTCTTATCTATACTGATCATTGATCCATCTGAATACTTAATATTTCTCTATCTTGCTAGATTTTATGCAAGTAAAGTACTTCCCAAAACAATTAAACTGGATTGTCTGGATTGCCTATTCTCTCCCCAGTCTTTTAAGAATGTTCTCTTGGAGTGACTGAAAAGAGAAGAAACTAGGTAAAAGAAATGGCCTGTGAAGTCATCTTCCTTTGGGCCTTCAATCAGTGGGCCTCAGTGCATTTAGTTTTGCTTTAATAGGAATAAAGGTGATTCCTGTGCCATTTGAACATGATGTAATGAAACGGAAGCAGGCGGACATTGTCCAGCTTTGTCTCCTCTCCCCATTGCTGAAGGAGCATCTGTGTGTAGTGTACAGGAGATGGCAGAGACTCGCCAGCCCTACACCAAGGAGAAGCCGTCCTACGGATTTCAGCTCTGGGCAGATGGGGAGGAAACAAAAGACTGAACTACGTGGGCAACACTTCTCTAGTCTTTGGTTTTGCTTTCTTTAGCTTTAGTTTCTTGCATTTAGCTTTGGTCTGGAAATATTAAATGGAAGATTCCTGGAGGACTAAGTTTCCAAGTTTTAAATGTGCCTTTCTAGGTTGGATGATGAAATCTCACTTCAGGCCTCCTGAGATAGCACATACACCTTTGCCTAGTGTTCCCCACTGTGTGTCTGTCCATCTGTCACTTAGTCTTGGTTATCAAATTGAGTCCGTGGAGTGACAGTGCCTGTGTTAAAACAGTGGCTCCAGAGTGCATGGGTAGCGCTGCTGACAGCTCTCGCGCACTAAGACAGGCTCGCGGTGTGCCCTTTGAGGGAAAGTGAGCCTCACTGCCGTGTTGAGGACCCTGCACTGTGTACAGCTTCAGGCATCCACTGTGGTCCTGGAATACATCCTGTGGATCGGACGGAGGGAAGAAACGGCTAGCATTCTCTAGCATTCTCTTGGTGAAGTGAGGTCTAAAGCTACAGCATAGCGTAGTGCTAGAGCTGAAACCCCCTGGGACAAACCACTCACTGTCAATGTCAGCCAGGAGCGCAGCAACTGTGGCTTAGAGCGAAAGCATTTGATAACCCTGGAGTCTAGCAATACTAGGCAAGCAGCCACTGAGTTAGAGCCTCAGCCCCATTGGACTTTGAGGCTCAGATTTTTCCCTAAGTATAGTAGTATATGTTTGACAGTAGATATTTAATGAAATTATGAGTATGATAGTATTAAGTATATATTTGCATTTCATCCTTGACATGCAGCTTCCCAAGTCCTGGAAACCCACAGGTGATAGTATCTTCGTACGTGTTGCAGAGTCGCACGATTGCTGGTGGCCTCTCGGGGTTGAGGACCGGTCATCTACAAGTTCTTAGCCGAGTGGAGAACAGGCATTTCCTGTCCCAGCTCACAACCTCTGCTTAGGGAGATGAGCTGAGAAGTCAGCTGCTCGCCTCATGCCAGAGATGTAATCACAGTGGCGGAGAGCTGCCCGTTCCCAGAGGCAGGCCTGTAAGGAAGGTGCAGCGGCTCCTCACACTTCCCCATGCTTTGCCCAGTGCATGTTCCAGTTAGGTGTGTTTTCTGCATCCTGAGATTGCTCATCAAGCAAATTCGTCACACAAAGAGGGCCTTGGACCTCTGTTGTAGCTAGTTGGTCAGAGTTACAGGACTGAGCCTTTATCCTGGGGGATCTGACGGAGTGGAACTTGTCCATCCAAAAGTAATTGCTTCCTGGCTGGTTAGGAGAAATCCCCACAGCTTTGGCAGCCGGCTACAAAAGTCTTTTGTGTTGGTAAACGTATAAGGAGGAGGGATGTGTATGTGCATGAATTTTTCCCACAAAATTTTTAGCACAATACTTAGATGATAATAAATATTCATAGCTGTAAGGATATAAAAGCCTCTACACTGGTATATTGGCACAGTGAATTATGTGTTAGAACCATTCTCATGAATTGTGTCTTTTATAATTACCCCCTTAAAAATGACAGATTGGCAACATCATCCTACTCCTCTTTTTACATAGGCGAGATCTTTAAAAAATTCATAAAAACTAGAGGGTCGCTTTTAAAAATAATTTTACTTTTAACCTAAAAATATCTGAGTAATAAAATCAAAGTATACCTCTAAAAAACATTTATCAAATATAGTAGTCAATAATTTAATACAGCTTACTTCCTAAGTTGCTCCATAGATTGTTCCTTTTTATCACTTAATATTTTTGATGTCTCATTTGGTCAGCGTAATGATCACTGAGTCTTAGTTAGATGCAGCAGCTTCCCCCTGCTCTTGTTTGGGTTTGCTTCCAATGTTTTGTCAGCTTCTTGCCAGTCCAATGCTTTTATCTTCTTTGGTGACTTGTTCTGAGAGCAGCCATATAAAAATGGGCCCATTTCTTGGACAGTACAACAGAGTCCTTAAAATGAAGCATCCAGCCACATTGAGAGACTTGGCTGCCTTTTGATGTTCAAACCCAAATTTTCAAATGAGAATATCTGATGGTCTTGCCTGAAGTCAAATCCACTCCTGCCCTCGTGTAAGTTGTAGATGACAATTTCAGAGAAAAGGGAACTTTCAACGTAGAAGTGGCAGTGGCTACTTCTTGTTTTCCCTTCCTTAGGGGTCAGGGAGAAGGTGGGTCTTGGTCTTATGCAACCCATGCTGCCTGGAATTCAATCCTCCTGCCTCAGCCTCCACCCCCAAGTGCTGGAATTACAGGTGTGTGCTACTGTGTCTGACTTACGTATTACTTCTCAGTTCTCCATTGGTTGCAGATCAAGAAATACCAAGGAGCAAAAACCACTTCAAGGTGTCTGGAAGTTCTATGGAAGGCTAGTATCACCTCAGTCATTTATGTGAAGATAGATTACTACTTAGTAAATAATCTCATTTTAAATGAGAACTTTCTCAAGTATTATGTAAAGGGGCAAACTAGCCTAAAGAGATTGCCAGTCCAATATGAACTAGTAGACAATGAACTGTGCCTCCAACCTGACTTTTGCTTTGAGGTTTGAAAGACATACATTCATCTTAGCTATCAGAAAAAAAAATTCATGTTTGATCATTCTGTTTTCTCTTGAACTCGAGAAAATGAAAGGAAAATACATGAAAAAAATGCAGAATTAAAATCACTAATATTTTTATTACCCTTGTATGGGTATACATACCAAAATATTTCCTACAAATTACACTAGGCCCAATAGGCCTTAGGAGAACAAACAGCTGGGCAGTGGTGGCATATGCCTTTAATCCCAGCACTAGGGAGGCAGAGACATAGGAGTTTCTGAGTTCAAGGCCAGCCTGGTGTACAAGGTGAGTGCCAGGATAGCCAGAGATACATAGAAGGACCCTATCTCCAAAAACAAACAAAAAGCACCTAGAGCCTCATAGATGCTAGGCAAATTACACCAGCATTTTAATTAGCTTATCTACGAGCTCAGAGCTTAGGGTCTAATTGAGGAAGGTTGAGAGCAGTAGAGCCAGGAAGTCTGGATTCTGACTCACCTTCAAAATTCAGGTCCCCTCCTGGAGCCTCACTCAGTGTCTTCATTAATACAACTAGTGTTCTACCAAGTGTGGTAGCTCACACCTGTCATTCTGGCACTAGTTAGTGCAGGGGGATTGCTGCGTGTTTGAAACCTACCTGGGCCACATAGTGACTTCTACATCACCTTGAGCAACACTGTAAGACCCTATCTTAAAACACCAGGCGTGTGTGTGTGTGTGTGTGTGTGTGTGTGTGTGTGTGTGTGTATCCTACTTTAAAACCTTGCGCGGGTCTATGGTAGTTGGGTAGATGTGCTAGTGTTCCCCAATGTCCCTTCCAGACAAAGAATTCAGTCTCTAAACTGCTTTCTCAAGATCTACAGGGCTACTGTAGTATATGTTACATCCCTCTCTGGTCTTCTGCAAAACACTGGAGAGGCGTCGCCTAGAGAACACATGTTTGCAAGGCACTGTTGGGTAGTCTTAGATTCCTGAAGACATTTACAGAAGAGGCCGGTGGCAAAAGTAGGGGAGACCTGAGGGAACAAAAGAAATAAATGAAATATTTCAACCCTAATTTTTGAAGAGAGAAAAATACTATGTTTTAAACCTCAAGGCCAACTACATACTTAACTTGAGGTAACATAATAGATACCTGATAAGGAATATAAAAATAGTCTAATTTTTATTGCATGAAATGCAGTATATTCACCAAACAAATGTTTATTAAGCACCAGGTACTCTAAATGACCTCTTAGGTATTGCTTCTCTGTTCTCCATTGGTAGCAGATCAAGAAATACCAAGGAGCAAAAGCCACTTCAAGACATCTGGAAGTTCTATGGAAGGCTAGTATCACCTCAGTCATTTATGTGAAGATAGATTACTACTTAGTAAATAATCTCATTTTAAATGAGAACTTTCTCAAGTATTATGTAAAGGGGCAAACTAGCCTAAAGAGATTGCCAGTCCAATATGAACTAGTAGACAATGAACTGTGCCTCCAACCTGACTTTTGCTTTGAGCTTTGAAAGACATACATTCAGTCCCAGTCTTCCCTACCATAAAAGACCATGGAGTTCTAGGAACGCACATATTTGACTGTTAACTGTGGTTTTCACAAAAGCTAATGCTGTGTTCCCCCCACTGGCTGGAAGAGCATTTAGGACTTCCATTGTCCTAGTTTCTGTGTAGTCATAGAACCAAATCCAAAGTATGTCTTTTCACTGCTGGCACCTCGGCATTTCACATGAACTGATTGCAAACCATACCATGGAAAACAACGAAGATATGCTGGACCAACTCCGCGTGCTCCAGCGATTCACTGGTGGGATGGATCAACTCATAGCCATGGATATGGGCCTCGGTGGCAGCTGAGTTTGGTTAGCCCACCAGCTCTCCTAAACCTCATCACCAGGATGAGCTCTCCAGCTCTGCCCCGGCTAGCTCACCCAATGCCACAGGCAGCAAGGGATTGAGCATTAAGCACCAATGGCTTTTCCAGAGCTCTAAGCACTGCACAATCCTCCCTATAACAACAAGGTCAGGTCTGTCAGTACACAATACCCCACTCCTGGCACCAATTTATGTCCTAGTTAGGTTTCTGTTATTGTGATAAAATAATGAACTAAAGAAATTTGGGGGAGGAGGAGGTTTACATCTTATAGGTTAGAGCCCTCATCATCGAGGTAAAGCAGAGTAGAAACTCAAGCAAGAAACGAAGCAGGGACTGATGCAAAGGCAATGAAAGGATGCCGTGTACTGCCTCACTCCCTATCTCTCTCATTCCCCTTTCTTCTATCACCCAGCATCACCTGTTTAGCAATGGCACTACCCATCCTGGTCTGGGTCCTCCCCTGTCGATCGTCAATCTAGCAAATGCTCAAACTTGCTCTCAGGCAACCTGATGAAGAGAAATCCTCATTTAGGTTTTTCTCTTCTACCTTGTGTCCAGTCGTCCAAAAGATCAGGTAGCACAGTGCTGAAAGGAACACTGGACCTCGTGATCCACATAATACCACGTATGCCACATGGGTAGAGAAGGGCTAAAGGAAGGTAGATGGTTACCTTCAGACATTCTGTTCGGTTGATACTTCTACAGGCCCTAGGTAAATGATGTTGTTTTCTCTTTCGCTTGCCTCATTCCTTCTTCTGAAACATCCTTGAAGAGAAGCATACATTATAACAACGGATTAGAATCCCATAAATCATGCCTGTATATTTCAGCAAAACACCCTACTACTACCTTACACCTAGAGCATGATTATTTTTTTTTTTGTATGATTCTTAAACCAGGAGAGTTTCCAATACCTCCCTCCCATCTCCAGGGACAATTGGCAATTCCTGAAAAATGTCTTGCTATTATTGTTGTTTGTTGAAAGATGAGGAAGCGTCCTCTTGTGAACATCTTATATATAGTAAAATACTACTATAACAAAGTATTATTTGAACCCCAAATGCCAATGCTAGAAGTGGTGAGAATGACAGACTCTGAACTGGAGAGTAAGATTAGTTAATTTGTTTTAGAAACATTATGAGTTCACTAGTTTTTGTATCTTAAGGTGATCTTCTCATAGCATAGCATCTGGTAACGTCTATTTGAGCTTTGATCTTTTTTTGTTTATGTGTGCTGAAGGTTATAAAGTCAGCAGATGTTACTCTCCTAATTTGATTTGCTCAGGGGCTGTGACTCCTAGTCTAGTTTATACCTTCTGGGTGATTATGGCCATAGATCTGAACTAGAAAGTCCTCTCTAGTCAATCACCAAGATTGAGGGCAGGCCATGTCTAATGCCACAATTTAAAAACATACAGTGTCCTAGACATATCTTCTAACCAACTACAGCCTCATTGATACAAAAATATTTTGAGTAATTGAGAATTGGCAAAAGCCATTTATTGTTGACTGAGGTTTCTGTCTGCCCGGTTCCCCAGCCATTTAGTCCCAGAGAAAATCACACAGAGGTCTCCATAAGTTATAAACCGATTGTCCCATTAACTCAGGCTTCTTATTAACTCTTATAACTTATATTAACTCATTATTCTTATCTGTGTTAGCCACATGGTTCGGTACCTTTTTCAGCAGGGCAGGGCACATCCTGCTTCTTCCGTGTCTGGGCAGGACTCCAGGAAGAATGGGCTTCCTCGTTCCCAGAATTCTCCTGTTCTCCTTATCCTACCTCTACTTCCTGTCTGGTTGTCCCACCTATACTTTCTGCCTGGCTACTGGCCAATCAGCGTTTATTTAAAACATAATTGACAGAATGCAGAATTGTCCCGCACCAATTTATGGCATCTAGTTTCCCAGGTCTTAGTGATCTCTACCAAAGAAAGACTCTGCCTCTAAACCTTGTCATTCTTCCTTTCCTCCAAATCCAGAGGTGAGAGTGTCAGTCAGCATCAGAGAGGCTTTCAAAGTAGTCCAAAAGCATTGGTGTCTCCAAAAAAAATAGAAAGTATGGGAAATTGGCAAGATTGAACTAAAATACACTCATCCCTTTTAAGGCAGGATTTTGCTATAGCCTCAAAGTTTCTGTGTAGCTCAGTCCAGTTTCTAGCTGTCTGTCCTCCTGTTTCAGTTTCATGAGTGCAGAGATTATAGACATGTGTCCTATAGTTATCTTTCAGACTGGATCTTAAGAACCATGACTTTCCGTCTTCAGAATTTGAATGCCTCGGAGAATCCTAGGCATACAGTAGGGATCCAGGATTTTCTTTTTATGGTGAATGGACAGAGTTCGATGAGAAAAATAATTAAGAATCTAAAGTTCCTGTAGATTTGCCTCAAACACGATCAAAGACTAGACTGGAATGCCAAAGATGTGCTGGAACGCATGATGGAATCTAGGCTTCCATGAATTAATCATGATAATGAGGGTTGTACTTACTGTACATAACACAGATTGCTATAAGTATTGCAGAAAGGGCTCCTAGCCCAATTGTTAAGATTGTGGTTGTGTGATTTCTATCAGGAGGGGCTTCTGGTGCTGTGGAGAGAAAAAAATAGTATCAGTCGTAACGTACAACCTATTGCCAGATTCCCATCCTGTGCCTCTTCACCGCGCACCTGCGGAGAATCATTGACTACGCCAGATCCACAGATCCACAGCTGTCAGCACTCTCCTGCGCAATCCTACCAAGAATATACTGTGGGCAGCTAACGTTCAAGTGATAGATACTGAAGATGAAAAAAGTAACGTGAGCGTCTGCATTGCCTGAGCTAACTTGACATGAAGGCAGGTTCTAAGGAGATACCTTAAAGGCTATTATCTCCTCAGTTCATTTCTGTAGCTGATATGACTGAGTCTTACTAGCAATGTCATAATATAAACAGACAGACCTACTCCTTTCTCCTCTAGCTCTATTACACCTCCTGTCTTTTTCTCGCATGGTCTCTTCACATCCTCCACCTCTACTCTTATACTCCATGGAGGGGTTGCCTTAAGATTCAGGAGACTTCACATTCTCTTCAAGATTCATTTTTTTTGACCTCCAGTTTTAAGTTTGGGGGAGCCTAAAGGAGCCAACAATTGCTATGAATTGGTATTAGAGGGCCATCCTGGAAGGTAGCCATGTGCAACAGCTTCTGATGAATGTCTAGTCTCACATGGAGCACATGGCGGATACAAAGACTGCTGAGGCAGCAGGACAAAGAGATTGGTGTGTGTATTGCTGCCATCCAGTCCTCATTGAGGTAGCAGCTATACCATTCATTTCTTAATCATTTTGAGAGATAGCAGCGTCTGAAAAAAGGACAGGGACACAATTTGAAGGGAATATTAGCAACATAGCCTCTCTGGCTTCTCAGGAATGGCTTATAAGCAAATATCAAACACTAATTCATTTTCAGCCTTCCCCATTACCAAGCCTCATGGATGAAGTTTCTTTTTGGCCCCATGGACCACCTTGTCCTTGGCATCTGAGATCCCACACTCCCCTGTTTCTGTTTGGAACAGTCATCTTCCTTTACAGGCACTTTTTCCTTATCTTAGCTTCTCCATGTCATTGTTTCCGTTGTGTCTGTTTGTTGTCCTGTCTGCCAGTATAATCTCATCCACATCCAAAGCTTGAAATACCATCCCATTTCTGAGTTTGGGAGGCTGGAGAGATGGTTCCGAGGTTAAGAGCACTGCCTTGAGTTCAATCCCCAGCAACCACATGGTGGCTCACAGCCATCTGTAATGAGATCTGGTGCCCTCTTCTGTCCTGCAAGCATACTTACAGGTGGAACACTGTATACATAATAAATTAATAAATCTTTTTTTAAAAGGCCGGTTTCATTTCTGAGTTTGAACATTGCATTTCTTATCTCATTTCTGGACTCCCGATGTATTATAGATCCAGCTGCTGACCACATGACTGGAAGCCAACTGATGCAAACTAAATTCACTGTGTTTTCTTCTTAAAGCTTTATCTGTTTTTATTGTCTGTGTAAGGGTGTTTTGCCTGTGTGTATGTCTGTGCACCATAGGCCAGAAGAGGGCATCAAATTCTTCTGGGACCGGAGTTACAGATTATTGTAAACCACTATGTGGGTGCTGGACATGAAAGACAGGTCCTCTGGAAGAACAGCCCACACTCTTACCTGCTGAGCCATCTCTGCCAGCTCTCACGGTTTCCCACACAAAGCCCACCGTCTACTGTCCACATTTGCCACTGCCCTGAATGGCATCCTCAGCCACCCAAGCAAGCGTGTCACACCTTCCTTGTTCTCATTTCCCAACCGCCTTCCATGGATTTCTGTGCTCTCTCAGAAGACCCCTGATTCCGAGCCCTTTCCCCCAGCACCTTCTTAGTCTGGATCTTTCTAATCTGCCATTCACTAGCCTCCAAACTCATCTCACAAACGATCACATGTCCTAACTCTTGCCCCGAATAATGATGGCTGTCTGGGTAGTGAGATTTGAGGCTTTTCTTTAAAACACTCTGTCAAGGGCTGGAGAGATGGCTCACTGGCTGCTCTTCCTGAGGTCCTGAGTTCAATTCCCAGCAACCACATGGTGGCTCACAACCATCTATCGAGAGACCTGGTGCCCTCTTCTGGTGTGCAGGAAGAAAACTGTACACAAAATAATAAATAAATAAATAAATAAATAAATAAATAAATAAATAAATTTATCTTAAAAAAAAAAAACAAACCAAAACTCTCCGTCCACAAAAGCAGACCCCATGAGCAGGCAAAGCAACAGGGCCTGGGTTGAGAAATTAGAAACCAGTCATGTGCAGTAGCTCATTTCTCTATTTCCAGAACTAAGGGAGTCAGAGGTTGGAATGAGGCCAAGGCCAACTCAGGCTGCACAGTGAGACCATGCTGTGTGTGCGTATTCACATGCATCACACGAAGTCTAAAATACTGTCTGAATTCTTCCAGAAACATTCCAGCACTTTTGTCCTAAATCTCACATATGCCCATATTCCAAAAATGACTGACTAAACTAAATCCCCACCTTTAAAATTATATAAAACTTGTTAGTGATAGCTCTCTAAAGTAAAAATGAAGTTCACATTAATAAACTAGTGTCCACTTTATGAGCCAAGACTTTTTTAAGTAAAATTTCAGAATGCATAAAAGCGATGGAGAAATGAGTTTGGAGTGTTAAAATCATGCAGAAAGTTGGTTTGTATTGGACACAAATGTTCTCAGGAAATTTTCTTATTACCTACAGAGGAACATAGTTAAAAGAATCCAGGTCAGATCTGAAAGAACAAATCGCTGAGCTATTGACACAACTGTAAATAAAGAGGAAGGCAGGAGCCGTGCCGCCGCTCACAGTAAATGCGCATGTACTACTGACTGTCCCACGGCATTGCTTCTGCACTGCGCAGACACAGAAGACGCCCTTAGAGCGGGGCTGAGCGGGGAGGAGAGTCCCGAGTGGGCCTCACATGCCCTTCAAATCAGACGAGCATTCCGATATCCGAGAACCCTGAAACCCTGCCATGAAGTTCAGATACATATGTTTAAATCAAAACAGTTTCTTCATTTTATAATTTCACCCTTAGAGAAAGGGAATTCCATAAGTTTACTACTTAAAAGGGAAATTATTGACTCAAAATGACCTATTCCCCATCCATCCCCAGTCCTTAAAGACTCTTATCACATAACTTTACCAGACTTGGCTCTGGATGAACCAGTAGGTGGGATCAAATCTAGGGCTTTGGGTGTGCTCTGACCCCACACCCAGAGTGAATGAGGAATTCTAAAAACAAAAATCCATTCCAAAAATACAGTGGTTTGATACCATGGAACCATTGAGATGGGGTATCCTAAAGGAAAATGCCAAAATCCGGAAATTATAAAGAAGGACAAAATTTGGTGCTTTCAGAAAAGACAACCATAATTAGGCCCATAAATTTTAGAATATTTATTAAAAGAAAATAAAATTAGTCTAGTAATATCACCATCACCTGTCTAGTGATGTCAGCGAATCATATCGACACATCCTGAATGTCTACCCTGACTAACGTTACCATCAGAGTCAGTGAGTTCAGTTCTAAAATGAAGCTGGCTGGGTTATTCTTTTGGATACTATACAGTAGACACTTTCCAGGGTAATGTTGCTTACGTTTTTCCCAGGTGTAGTTCTTTGACACTTGAGAGTCTCCATACGCTACGTGGCACACAATGCTGTGGTTGGATGTCATATTGAAATCCAGTTGGCTGCTGACAGTGTACAGTTCAGTTTCAGGATCCTGAGAAATTGTTGTATTGATGCCACTTAATTCTTTTCCATTTACCAACCAGGAGAGGGTAGGCTGTGGGAAGCCTCCAGAGGTGAAGCATATTATTCTTCTAATGTCCGCAGACGGATTTCCGAAGTGAGTTATATTAGGGGTTGGGTAGTCAGCTGGAGGTAGAACAAGCACGCAATTATACACAGGTACAGATCTGTGTGCACATGTTAAACAAGCGATCAGGCTTCAGAAAGGATGACAAAATAAAGTCGAATTGCAAGCCTGCATAAGTCATTAGTAAAAGAGCTGGTTTGAATTGGTCACGTCTGTTGTCTTCCAGCTTGAGGGAGGTAGGAAAGCTCTTAGAGAGAGCAATAGGTTCGTGTGGATAAATGTTATCGTACTGTTTGCTACTGTAAGAGGAGACTAGACAACTGAATGCTTATTGAGTTCCCGTCAGTTAACTCTGGAAATTCTTCTCTTTATGACAACCTTAGGAGGTCGGACTTTAAAAGTCTGGACTTTAAAAGGGCAATGCATCAAGTGAAAAGGTTAGGGCATGCCTGGAGTCCTAGGCTGAGGGAGAAGGCTTGCTTGAATTCCACAAGTGTGGGGCCAGCCTGGAAAATAGAGTGAGACCCTGTCAAAAAAAAAAAAAAAAAGCCTGCCAGGGTGGTACATGCCTTTAATTTCAACACTGGGAGGCAAAGGCAGGTTTATTTTTGTGAGTTTGAGGCCAGCCTCATCTACAGAGGGAGTTCCAAGATTACCTAGAGAGACCCTGTCTCAAAAAACAAATAAAATGAAAAAATGTTAAATAGCGCTGGGCAGTGGTGGCGCATGCCTTTAATCCCAGCACTCAGGAGACAGAGGCAGGCGGATCTCTGTGAGTTCGAGGTCAGCCTGGTCTACTGAGCGAGTTCTAGGACAGGTTCCAAAACTACTCTGAGAAATCCTGCCTCGAAAAACAAAACAAACATACAAAAAGGAAGTTAAAAAGCACTAACCTGATGGACTGATGTTTGTAATTTTATTTTCTACACCAACAGGTTTGGGGAACCCACAGCCCTGTGGCAGAACTGAGATTCACAGTCCCCATTTCTCAACACCAGGAGCTGTGTCTGCTGTTTACCCGTCTATCTTGTCCTGTCCTTCCATCCCGCTACTGGACGCTCACAGGAGGCCCTGTCTATCTGTTTCTTTAGTAAGGGACATGGGTGAAGCCACCTCCAACCTGGGAACCAGGAACCAGGAGCCCATCCACACCCACTCATATGGTCTCACCCCGTGGACCTCTAACCTCAGCACCCGCAGTAGCCACCACCCCAAGTCTGTGTTCAGCGCTCCCTTGCTTCTTAAAAAATAAGTTCAGCTGAGCATGGTAGGGCACATGTGTAACTCGGGTATACTTTGGAGGCTGAGGTAGAAGGATTTTGAGGCCAGCCTGGGCTATATATTGAGTTCCAGGCCAGCCTAGACTAAGAGTAAGACCCTTCCTAACTTTTTTTTTTAAAGGCTTGTATTCAGATAAAACGGTGTCCCAAATGTACAATATTGAATCTGTAATCTCAGCCATGACATTTTATTAATTCCTTCCTGCATCAATACAACAATTCCTTGAAGGGACATAGAGGCCTCCCGGAGCTGACTCCATTTGTATATCTGACCTTCAGTAGGATACTAAAGTAGGCTTAGAGCGAAGTGTGCAAACTTCTCTGAACCACTTGCTCGCTCACGCTCAGGCGCGAGGGATTTAACTCCTCCCCTATCATGTGGGACTCAAACCCCCACTTCAGTCCATAGAACGAACTTTCTTCTTAGAAGTCTGAGTGCTACGGAACTCATATGAGCAGAGGTCAGAGGTCACCAAGAGCCGTTCTTCAACTGAGGTCTATTTTGTGACTGTGGGCTAATTGGCTTTTAGTCTTAGTTTGCTCATCAATAAGATGGGCTAATAATCTCATGCTCCAAGACTGAAGGGAGGAAATGACATCATTACTAGAAACCACTTAGCATGGAACCTGGCACACGGGATGTATTTAGGTAGATGTTCTCTTTTAAATCAGGTTGCCAAGGAGCGCTTCTAAAACTCCAGAGTGGTACTGGGAGAAATGGGGGAGGGGCAAGTACTGACAGGGTACCAGGAAAGGGAAAACCCTTAATATTATTAGAGAGGAAGTCACTTTAAACCAAAACAATAATAATAATAATAATAATAATAATAATAATAATAATAATGAATTGGTGGTAAATCTCTTCAAGTTTGATGGAAGCCTTCAGGCCAGCCAAAGCTACATAGTGAGACTCTATCTCAAAAACCAAATATAAAACAAAGAAAAAAGCAAATAAAAAATGGGCCTTGCTCTTAAATAAAGTTTGATGTGTTCCTGAGCTATTTATAGTTGGCATTTTTATTTTCTACTTACTAGCTTATACCACTCAAGTTACTAAACTGATAGCCAACACAAAAATGTTACTTTTGTTTCTATTAACCATACATCAGGCTTTAACCTGGAGTAACAAGTCTAAGCATCTTATGTTCGAAGTCACAACTCATGTTCATTCATTCTGTGTTCTACTTTTCTGAGAACCAGTCAGCTCAGTAAGAGCCAGCGTTTCCACGCCTGACTGAGCTCACTACAGCCTCAGCCTTGTGTCTGAGACCTTCCACAAGATAACCTGTCTAGAATCATTGCTCAGAAGCTCTTGGCAGACTGTGGGCTGTCTAAAGATTAGCCCTCTGGGGCTGGAGGGATGGCTCAGCAGTTCCAAATACTGAGTAAAGTGTTCAACTTAATTTACTTTTGCAGAACACCCAAGTTCAGTTGCCAGCACTCACATTGGGTGGCTCCCAACACCTTCTTCTGGCTACTGTAAGCACACACACACACACACACACACACACACACACGCATGCACACACGCATGCACGCACGCATGCATAATTCAAATAAAAAAAAGATTGGTCCTTTTTATCTCAAATGACTCAGGTAACTTGAGTTTTGGCCACCCTTAGTGGAGAAGATAAGGATGTTTGTGAACAAAGGTAGGGGTACAAATTATTCAGAAAGGTCAAAAGTCTGTGACCTAGTTAACTTGTTACCTGATAGGAAGTTCTCAAGTACAGTTCACAGTACAGACACATCACATTCAAGTTACATTCCCAAGAATCAGAAGGCATTTCAGGCCACTCTAGCGCCTGGTCTGATTACTGTGACCTTGTGTGGTCCAAGTACAAGAAAAGCACACTGATAGATTTTTCCCTCTTGAACAATCAGTTAGATTCTCTGTAAAATTGGAAACCCACTCCTCAGATATGAAATGAGATGCCACCTTCTTTGATAGAATTGTCACCTATATCAATAGAGACGAGACTTTCAGGACATTACAAATCAGTAAATCAGAGACTCCTACCCACCTTTGACCAACAGCTCCACAGAAGCCAAGTGCTTCCGTCTGTAAGACCCACTTTCTAGCCTTTGAACGACACAGGTGTACTTGCCGCTGTCTGAAAGGAGCAGTCGCAGGATCATAAGACGGAAGTTGTCCGTGATGTCAAATAAAGTCCGGTTCTTATATTGGGGCCACACTTCTTTATCCCCAGAGACGTAGCTCAGCACCACTTTCCCCTCTTTCTGCCAGTAGATCCGGAGTCTGGTCAGCTCATCAACAGAGTAGTTGTAGCCACAGGGCAGTGAAGCCTTTTCTTTCACCGACTTGGACACTCTGTTAGCACCTAGAAGACACGTAAGGAAAGACCGCACAACCGTTACTGAGCATAGCAGACTCATTCTGTCAAGTGACTAGCCGTGACGAGTGGCTCCAGAATGGATTTTTTAGTTTATGTGTTTTGGTTTTTCAAGACAGAATTTTTTTTTTGATCCCCAATACGTTTTTGTTGTTGATGTTGTTTGTTGTGTTATCGTTTTTTTAGAGATAGCGTTTCTCTATGTAACTCTGGCTGTCCTGGAGCTTGTAATGGAGGCCAGGCTGGCACTGAACTCACAAGATCCTCCTGCTTCCCACCTCCTGAGTGCTGGGATTAAAAGTGGGCCCAACCTCGCCCAGCCTTGACACTTTTTATGTTTTATTATTGAATATTAATTGTGCAAAATGATGGATTCATTTATTTATTTTTGGCTTTTTGAAACAGGGTTTGTTTCTCTGTATAACAACCCTGCCTGTCCTAGAACTAGCTCTGTAGACCAGGCTGGCCTCGAACTCACAAAGATCTGCCTGCCTCTGTGTCCCGAGTGCTGGGATTAAAGGCATGTGCCTCTACTGCCGGCTTCCATTTATAATTTTTATTGTGGTTAAAAAAAAAAAACACAAACCACTACGTATGCTGAATACTTATAGTCCTAGGGCTTGGGAAGCTGAGGAGGAGAACAAGAAGTTTGAGGCCAGCTTGTCTTACACTGGCAGGCCCTGTCTGTTGGGGATGTAGTTCAATGGTAGAGCACATGCATATCATGCCCAAGGTCCTGGGGTTTGCTGTCAGCACTGAAAGAAATACATCAATTTTACTATAGTGACCATTTTTAAGTTTATGATGGAAACCTATCTTTACATTGCTGTGAGACAGAGCTCAGAGCTGTTTGGATGTGTCATGAATCTCTGTACACATTAAACAACAATCTCCCCTCCATTTCTCTCACCCTGGAACCACCATTCTTTCGCTGGTTTCTATGTATTTGACTACTTTAGATATACTGACCTTTTGTGGGTGGCCTGTTTTATTTTATATTATGTCTTCAAGACTTATTTATCTTGTGTTATATGACATAATTTATGTAATGGTCTGTTCTGTCCCTTTAAGAGATAAGCACACCGCCCCCCCCATCCGCCTAGGCAAGAGGATCTTCCTTTAGCTTCCCACCTGAGCTCCTTCCTTTGCATCTCTCTCCTAAAGAGATAGCGTCTCCTCTCCTCTTCCCCCTCCTCCTCCTCTCTCTCTCTCTCTCTCTGTTTCTATTTCCCTTGCTCTCTCTCTGCCTCTCTCTCCTCATCCCTCTTTTCCCTCCTGTCCCCTTTCCCCTTCCCTTCCATAACCCACTAAATAACTATCCAGTCTCATGCATGGCGTGCCTATCCATCTCTGTCTCTCAACCACTGCGGCTCCTCCTCGTGGGACTGGCTGACCTGCCATGCGGTGCCCTGCCTGGGGTTCGCTGCCCCTTGTGACCAACTGCCCACTGCCACCCCTCAGGGAACAGCGCCATTTTATTTTTACCATTACAATTTCCTTGTCACATGATATGTGATCACAAATAATTTCCATCTCCCTTTGTCTCCCTCCCTTCCTCCCTTTCTCCCTCCCTCCCTCCTTTCTCTCTCTCGATATATGTTTACATATATATATATATATATATCCTTTTCTCAATTTATATGTTGTATACTCACATACACACATGCATGCATCCATGTGCATACGTGCGCGCGCGCGCACACACACACACACACACACACACACACACAACTGATAAATCTACTCATCTACTGATGGGCATTCGAGCTGCTTCCACCTCTTGGTTCTTGCCATGGATAATAGTGCTGTGAGCATGAGTGTACAAATGCCTCTTCATATTCCCGATTTCACAGATCAGTCAGGTTTTGATCCCACCTCAGGCTAACTTTGAATTCTCTAAGTAGCCAAGGGTGACCTTAAACTTCCCGTCCCCACCTGCTGAGTGCTAGGATTACAAACTAACACCATCACCCCTGGGGCTCTTTAACTTCCTGTGTGCTCTGTCTACCACATTGGTTGATAAAGATAAAATGACTTGAACCAAATCTTGGGTGGATGTGCTGCCGTTGGCACCACAGAACCTATCACACCCTTTTTCGTTTCTTTTGTTGCTGGTGCCCACCTCAGAGGAACAACCGGCAGCAATTGACTTCAGGGAATCGGCCCACCAACATGCAGGGTCAATCTCGGAACTGCAAGTTCGGAAGCGCTTCTGACCCAGCGTGTCTCTTGCTACTGCTGTGTCTTTCAGTGTTCACAGCTGCTATTTTAATCTGGTATCTGGCATGGTGTGAATTGGTGTGGGGAGATCTCCACTACCTTTAATGTGGTGTGATTATCTCATGGAAATAACCCGTCCTACTGGGCATTTTTACCAGTGGAATATTATAATTTCCTCCTAAAATACACTATTGAAAGTGTTGACCCCATCCCTAATAAACCAGGGGCTGCAGAGGATAGAAAATAAGAACAAGGAAATGTCGCATAACTAGTTTCTCTTGAGGAGCCGTATAGACTGTGGCTTAGGTTATTGATTTAGAAAAACAACTGAATCCCAGAAGCTAAGTTAGCTCAAGTTCTTTTGATCTTACTGATGAGAGATGTTTACAGTTTCTGGTGCGCCTCATAAAAAAAAGCTTGCTATGATTTAAGGTTAAGCAAAGATGTTTTCGTTAATGGCTTTGAGGTAAAAATGAATCTTGAAAAACAATTTAAAGTAATATTTTTAATAACTTAGCGAGGGACTTGTTGAGGTCAGGGAACAAGAATAACAACAGCCTGGCTATTACTGACTGAAGCACCTTTCTTGAGAGGAGGGTTGGTGATCATTTCTGCCCTCAGCTCTCTGATATAAAACACTGTCGATGCAAGGCATCCCTCCAAAGAGAATGGGCTCCAAAAAGCCAGTGCAAGCAGTAGGGATAAATCCTGGTTCCACTGCCAGTGGCCCTGCAGTGTGCCCCAGCCATGCACCTGTCAGCCACATTCGGATACCTTGTTCAGCCTAGATATAGCAGGGAGGGCCTTGGGCCTTCCTCAAAGCCGCATGCCTTACCCTCTCTCAGGGGTGGATGGGGGTGGGGTGCAGGAAAGGTGGCAGGAATGGGAGGAGGAGAGGGAGTGGGGACTGGAGTTGGTGTGTAAAATGAAAAATAGATAGTTTTTTAAAAAATAAAATAAAAAAGAAACTGTCGATGAATGGGTATGCACCCTGATGATTTAAAATAGAGCCCACGTGTTCTTTTTCATAAATAAAAGTTTAGATTTGTGATTCTTCTAAGATTTCTTATAAGATATACCCTTTGTGATAAATAATAAAATGATTAGTCCTTTCTTTGTAACCGCAAAATGTAACCTGCAAATAAAAGAACTGGCTGAGAAAAACCCCTTGCTTGCTTACACTTCGTTCATCTATAACAAGTTGCTTGGGTATGAATGAGTGTGGGTTCTTGGGACAACTTTTTACCTGTAATACATAAAATGTTTAATCACATGAGGGATATGGAAAACAGGCTGTTTTTATACTTGTATTCATTGTAATCATTCTTTTGAAAAATAGAATGTAACCATGTTGTAATCTTTATATTGCTTGAAAGATTTTCCCGGGGTATATAAATTGTGAGGTTAAAAATGAATTTAGTTAGAAGGAAGACTTCAAGAGAGACAGAAAGGATTCATCTGGATAGAGGTAAGAGAAGAAAGAAAGAACTGAGAGAAACAATGGTAGAGAGACATTTGCAAGTTCTGCTGTTCTGTCCATGCCTAAAATTCTACAGGTAATACATCCTGGAGCTGTGCGTGATGGTACATTTCTGTAATCCTAGTGCTTAAGAGGTTGAGGCAGGAGGATTGCCATCAGTTAGAGGCCAACCAGAGCTACACAGCAAGGCCTGCCACACCCCAAATAAAATGTAAATAATTTCAGAGACTAGGCCAATTCACAAATGTGAACGCTAAGAATAAGGATGTTCTGTTGTATTGGCTATTTAAAATATGGCCCTCTTAATTTTGTATTTTCTCTTATCTGCCTTCCTATTCCTTCATGATGAAGAGCCACAAGGCGTAGAATCATAGTCCTCTTTGCCCCAAGCTTCCCAAGCATATCAAAGTCTCTGCTGAGACCTCTGTAAGGAGCTATGACCCCCATCTCACAAATGTCTGATATTTCCAACAGAGGTAGAAGAGCACGAAGTTCCGCCATCTTGCTTCAGCTCTCATAAAGCAACAAGGATCCTTTTGTCTGATTTCACAGTCTACTCAGTGCCACATAACACGAACTCTGTCTCAACAAAACAATCACAGAAAAAAAAACCCAAAAAAACCCAACAACCAAAAAATCTACCCAATGGAACTTTCCCTTTGGTTTCTTCTACAGCTCTTTCCCCATCTCTCTCTGTCTCTCTTTCACATACACACATGCATGCACACACGCACACACACACACACACACACACACACACAAGCTTATACGTACACACACATCTACGTGCTCACACACATGCATGCACATAAGCATATATGCACATACATGCATATATGTGCTCACACACACACATGCACCACACATTGCACAGAACTGCATTTTGTTTTGTTTTGTTTTGTTTGAGACAAGGTCACCCTAGGAAGCTCAAGCAGACTATCTTGATCCTCCTGCATCAGCTGGGAGTTAATCTTCCTGAATTCTAGGATTGGTGTAAGCCACTACTAATGGCTACTAATATGATTTTGAGCGCTCTCATTTTCCTACCACACAGTTTGATTTGGGAGCAAAGGCCACTAAACCTTTCACTAGATGAGAGACTAGACTCAGAGGAGAGTTGAGATGCCATCTCCTTTATAGAAATCGTCTGATTTTGCAGCCTAAAGTGAACCCAGTATTTTTGCAGCAACCTTATACCTTGAATACCCATTACTACATTGGCAATTAACCTGCCATTTTTCTACCATACATGCCATTCAGTGGAGCACCTAGAATGGCGATGTCACTA